GGGAAAATATAACTGGCTCAAGGAAAATCCACCCAAAAATGTTTGGCAGCAGTCACCAATGACATTTTAAAGGAGTTATATTAACATCACCCAAAGTAAAATATCATCCCTTGCCTGTAATCAGGAGGCAAGAGCAGCGATGAAAACAAGTTGGATTTTTGAACACAATCAGGAAATGTAACAGAGGCCTCACATCACACCTGTTTAAAACCATAAATATACTGCACATTTACCCCAAAACCCATTGTAGAATGATGTATTTTCTCATCTAGTACAGTAACAAAGTCATTTTTGTTGAAAAGTTAAAATTAGTACAAGGACAAGTTAAATATTTAAATTCCAAGTGTAGTTAAAGTTTAATCAAAGGCTAATCTAATTTCAGTATCCAGCATATACAATCAGGGATGCAAATCTGATTTACATCATTAGTTTTCTCTCAACTCTTTAGCAATCAAATATGAGGATAAAGTGGAAGTCAGTACAGACATTCTTAAGAGGTCAATGTAAAAAAGTAAACAATCTTGAAAAATTACAAGACCTCGTTCCACAAAAAAATCTCAGTACAAGAATCTGCAAACGTCTTCATTTTCTACCCACCAACAAGCTGGATTAAATCAACTAGGTTCCACATAAATGCAATTTCTGGATGGGCAACAACTTAACCTCTGCTAGGAAATTTTTCACAAAAACAATATTTTAAAGTCCTCAGTAAAGGGATCACCTTTATCCCCCTCCACCCGAACATCAACGAATACCGCTAACGCTTGGATGTTGTACAGTTTTTCCGCCGCCTCCACCTCCGCCCTTACTTCTTCAACTGTGAGCCTAACCCTCCCTCTACTGACCCCTTCTCCCGCCTCCAACACACCTCCTCCTCCTGGACACCACCCCAAGGCCTCCTACCCTCCCTCAACCTCTTCATCTCCAACTGCCGTTGAGATATCAATCGCCTCAACCTCTCCACCCCTCTCACCCACTCTAACCTCTCCCCCACAGAACATGCAGCCCTCCGCTCCAACCCCAACCTCACCATAAAACCCACGGAAAAGGGAGGCGCAGTTGTAGTATGGCGCACTGACCTCTATATCGCCGAGGCCAGACACCAACTCTCTGACACCTCCTCCTACCGCCCCCTTGATCATGACACCACCCCCGAGCACCAAAGCATCATCTCCCAAACCATCCACAACCTTATCACTTCAGGTGACCTCTCACCCACAGCCTCTAACCTCATCGTTCCCCAACCCTGCACCACCTGTTTCTATCTCCTTCCCAAAATCCACAAACCTGATTGCCCTGGTCGACTCTTTGTCTCCACCTGCTCCTGGCACACCTAACTTATCTCCACTTATCTCGACTCCATTTTCTCCCCCTTGGTCCAGGAACTCCCCACCTATGTCCGTGACACCACCCATGCCCTCCACCTCCTCCAAAACTTCCGATTCCCTGGTCCCCAATACCTCATCTTTACCATGGATGTCCAGTCCCTATTCACTTACATTCCCCATGCAGATGGCCTAAAGGCCCTCCGCTTCTTCCGGTCCCGCAGGCCCGAACAGTCCCCCTCCACTGACACCCTTATCCGCTTAGCTGAACTCGTCCTCACCCTTAACAACTTCTCCTTTAATTCCTCCCACTTCCTGCATGGGCCCAAGCTATGCCTGCCTCTTTGTAGGATACGTGGAACAATCCCTCTTCCAAAGCTACACTAGCACTATCCCCCACCTCTTCCTCCGTTACATCGATGACTGTATTGACACGGCCTCGTGCTCCCACGAGGAGCTCGAACAGTTCATCCACTTCACTAATACCTTCCACCCCAACCTTAAGTTCACCTGGACCATCTCCGACACCTCTCTCTCCTTCCTGGACTTCTCTGTTTCCATCTCTGGCAACCACCTGGAAACCGATATCCATTTCAAGCCTACTGACTCCCACAGCTACCTAGAATACACCTCCTTTCACCCACCTTCCTGCAAAAATGCCATCCCCTATTCCCAATTCCTTCGCCTCTGCCACATCTGCTCCCGAGATGAGGCATTCCACTCCCGGACATCCTCATTTTTCAAGGACCACGACTTCCCCTCCACAGTGGTCGAAAACGCCCTCGACCGTGTCTCTTGCATTTCCCGCAACTCATCTCTCACACCCCCTCCCCGCAGTAACAACCAAAACAGAATCCCCCTCAGCCTCACGTACCACCCCACCAACCTCCGAATCCAACGCATCATCCTCCGGCACTTCCGCCATCTGCAATCTGACCCCACTTCCAAAGACATTTTTCCCTCCCCACCCTTATCTGCCTTCCGGAGGGACCACTCTCTCCGTGACTCCCTTGTCCGCTCCACACTCCCCTCCAGCCCCACCACCCCCGGCACTTTTCCCTGCAACCACAGGAAGTGCTACACCTGCCCCTACACCTCCCCCCTCACCCCCATCCCAGGCCCCAGAGAGACCTTCCACATCAAACAGATGTTCACCTGTACATCTGCTAATGTGGTATACTGTATCTGCTGTTCCCAATGTGGCCCCTTCTACATCGGAGAAACCAAGCGGAGGCTTGGAGACCGCTTTGTGGAACACCTACACTCGGTTCGCGACAAACGACTGCACCTCCCAGTCGCGAACCATTTCAACTCCCCCTCCCACTCCTTGGATGACATATCCATCCTGGGCATCCTCCAGTGCCACAACGATGCCACCCGAAGGTTGCAGGAACAGCACCTCATATTTCACTTGGGAACCCTGCAGCCCAATGGTGTCAATGTGGACTTCACAAGCTTCAAAATCTCCCCTCCCCCGACCGGGTCCCAAAACCAGCCCAGCTCGTCCCCACCTCCCTAACCTGTCCGTCCTTCCTCCCACCAATCCACTTCCTCCCACCTCAAGCCCCACCCCCATCTCCTACCTACTAACCTCATCCCGCCTCCTTGACCTGTCCATCCTCCCTGGACTGACCTATCCCCACCCTAACTCCCCATCTACACTCACCTTTACTGGCTCCATCCCCACCTCTTTGACCTGTCTGTCTCCTCTCCACCTATCTGCTCCTTTATCCATCTTCCATCCGCCTCCCCCCTCTCCCTATTTATTTCAGAATCCCCTTCCCCTCCCCCATTTCTGAAGAAGGGTCCGGACCCGAAACGTCAGCTTTCCTACTCCTCTGATGCTGCTTGGCCTGCTGTGTTCATCCAGCTCTACACCTTGTTATCTCCAACATTGGCAGTTCCTACTATCTATGTATTTACACTATTCCTGTTATCAACAAAGCTTACCAAAATGCCTGGAAACAAATTGTTTCCCCTGAACAGGTTTTTTTTTTTGGAGACCAAGTTATGGTAAATGTTACCCATAGTTTCTTAATAATCAGCATTTAAAGTACTACAACCAGATAAATGTAACCATATCAATACCAACAGACTTTATTTTATATCAACTGATATTTTCTGTAAATTACATTCAAAAAAATACCGAATAAACAATAATTGAGATTCTTTATCAATTTGCTGGAATTTAAAAATGCAAGTATCTCACTTCATACTTATTTGTCTTCCACTTCTGTAGCCAATTAGTGAGAGACTAGAGGTTCTATACCAGATAGTTACAGAATTCTCTTTTAACTCCTGCACAACATGTTCTAGTGAAGAGAGAGTATAATATGTAACAGTTCAAAGAAGGTTCATTCCAATGATTCTTTGGACAAGGATGCTGACAGTGTGGATGCTGAGAGGACATTTTTCCCCTTGTGGGAGAGAATAGAACTAGCAGACAAAATGAGGAGGTCCCCTTCAAGCTGGTGGAGCTTCTTTTCTTATTTCAGAGGGTTGAGAGTCTTTGGAGCTCTCTTCCCCAGAGAGCAGTGGACGCAGAACCATTGAACATTTTTAAGGCTGATTGTGTGTTGACAAGGTAGTCAGAGGATGGGGAATAGACAGAAAAGTCACATTGAGGCTACAATCAGATCATTCATGATCTTATCAAATTACACCGAGGACAAGGAGCCAAATGGCCTAGGCCTGCTCTTAATTCATATGTCAATCAGATTATTCCTTAAACATTGAGGCAGTCCTCAATCTGTCTTCTGGAAAGATCAACATCATAGAAAAATATAAAGACCTTTCATCACTATTCAGGCACATCTCACAATTTCATTCCATTTTCTTCATCTGATTAAGATTCTTTAAAAATGGTTGATGATTTTTCAAGATGTTGAGGGGGAACCAACATCCATCCATAGCTGTCCTTTATGAAGTTCAACCTGTTATTCTCAAAGGACGTCATGAGCAAGGCTTGAGACTTACTCTCCCAACGGCCAAACTATATTATCAGAAAAAGCACAATTCAGTAGTAAAAATATCTAAGGAAATATCTAAGTTCTGAGGAAGGGTCACCGGACCCGAAACGTTAACTCTGTTTTCTCCTTCATAGATGCTGCCAGACCTGCTGAGCTTTTCCAGAAACTTTGTTTTTGTTCCTGATTTACAGCATCCACAGTTCTTTTGGTTTTTATTTAGTAAAAATATCTAATCCCAACAAACCCAGGAATACATTTTTTTAGCAACTTCTCGTGTTTCTACTGAGGTTTTTTTTTTAAGAATTCTATTTATGTGCTGCTTTCACAACCTCAGAGTTTTCCAAAACACTTTGCAGCCAATTAAGTATTTCTGAAGTGCAGTCACTTGTCGGAAACAAGGTACACAGAAAGCCAGTGATGTGATAATGACCAGACAAACTATTTTTTGATGTTGACAGAAAGTTGAAGATCTTTTAATTCTTCTTCGGATAGAATTTACATCCATGTGAGATGACACATCAGCCTTTGGTTTAGTGTTTCGTTCGAAATTCGGCAGCTCCAGCCGTGTTACTCTCCCTCACCAATGCACCGCGCCGTCAACTTTGAATTTATGCGCAAATCTCTGGAGTGGGAGTTATTGCCACAACTTCTGTCTTCGACGAGGAGAGAGTATTATTATCATTTTGTTAAAAAAAAAGTTGGCATGTGTCTGCATTATAAAGTTCAGTAAACATAGCGTTTTGGAAATAGGGCTAAAAATATCCACGGCCGACTTCGCCCTTGAAGAGTCGTTTTCCTCTCATTATCTGGGCCGGGTCAGGGTCAGCCCTTGGCTGGACTCTGGGGCCGGTGAGACTCTGGGAGCTGAGCCAGTGTCACCTCCTGGGCCTTACGCTGCTCCAGGCTGTACCGCTGGAAGATGGGTTTGTACACGTACAGACCGCCCGCCACCCCCAGCACCGCGGCTAGGGTCAACTGAGAGAACGGGAGCCTCCTGAGAGCCATCAGCGGCAACCGCTCCGGGCACTGAGCGGTAAATGGAAAGGAGGGGGAGGTGAAGGAAACGGACGAGATTTGACATTAAAATGTCGGCGGGACCTCCCCTGGACAGCGCATGCGCTTCAACCGCCTCAGTCACGTGGACGCCAGATCGGACCCAATCATGAAGCTCGAGTGCTGAACCAATGAGGAGTCCGGATATCTCCGCCAATCAGACTCTTACCTTTCTCCCCGCTTTTGGATGGTGCTGCTGCACATGCGCAATTTCTCGCTATAGCATTCAGAGACATGGTTAGGGTTCCTTACATCAGAGAAATGGCTCCCACCATGAGTAGAGTTGCCATGTTAAAAGATCACATTATTGCTTTGACCACACCATCTTCTACTTCATCAAATCTCTCAATTTCTTTACTGCAATGCTCTCCCTGCTGGTAGGCCTCCCACATTCCACCTTAGCTAAATTTGACATCAAGTTTGCTGCAGTACATATCCTCACTCTTGCCTACTCTCCTCCCCACTGTGCACTGAATCACAGAATTGATAGGACACAGAACGAGTCGACCCATCATGTTCGTGCTACTTCTATTACCTAGTGCCAATCTCATACCTTTTCTCTCTATGTCTCTGCACACCATCTCTATGAAACAATCATCCAAAACTAAATAAAAACCAAAAGAACGGCAGCTACTAAATCAGTTCTGAGGGTCACTGGACCCAAAACATTAACTCTGATTTTTTCTTCACAGATGCTGCCAGATCTGCTGAGCTTTTCCAGCAAATTCCATTTTTGTTCCAATCATCCAATACACTCTTTGATGCTGCAAATTGAAACTACCAATCCACACTCAGTCCCACTTAAGCATTCATCCTTTCTTCTCAATTCCTCTTTGGCCTTACCTATCCCACATTCCCATCCACACAAGTTTCCATGCTCTCCACAGCCCTCCATTCCTGGCTTCTTGAGCACTCCCAATTTTAATTGTTCCACCATAAAGTTGGCAAAGCCCAAAAGTTCAGGAATTCCTTCCCTAGACTGTTTTCCATTTCTATTTTGCTGTCCACCTTTAAGATGCTCCTCAAAATGAGACTGTTGAGGAGGACCTTGGTGATGACTTTTCCAATGGATGACAGCAAGGAGATTCCCCTGTAGTTACCACAGTTGTGATGTGACGATGCCAGTGTTGGACTGGGGTGGACAAAGTCAGAAGTCACAGAACACTAGGTTATGGTCCAACGGGTTTATTTGAAATCACAAGTGACTTCTGAGTTTGTTACGACGGTTGGACTTGTTCCCTCAACCATTTTCCTCGCTGTGGCTGAGGAACTCCTCCCGGAATTGCAGTGTGGTTTTTGGCCACAGATGGGCACAATGGACGTGATTTTCACCGTGCAACAGCTGCAGGAGAAATGCAGAGAAAAAAAACGCCCCTGTACATGGCCTTCTTTGACTTTACAAAGACCTTTGACACCGTCAATCTGGAAGCATGATGGAGCATCCTTCTCAGCTTTGGCTGCACCATTATGTTTGTCAGCATTCTTTATCTGCTCCATGACAACATGGAAGTCGTAGTAATGACAAATAAATAACTCCATCACCGAACCATTGCCTGTTCGGACCGGTGTTAAAGGAGGGCTGCGTCATTGCCCAACTCTGTCCTTGATCTACTTCCCTGCAATACTTCACCTCCCCTCCGACAAGCTCCCTGCTGGAGTGGAGCTAACTTACAGAACCAGCAGGAAATTATTCAACCTCTGCCACCTTTAAGCCAAAACCAAAGTCACCCCAACTTGTGTCATGGAGTTGCAGTATGCATATGTATACGTGCAATCTCAGGAGGATGTACTCCAGATCATCGTCAGCACCTTTACACAGGCATATGAGACCATGAGTCTCACCCCGAACATCTACAAGATGAAGGTCCTCCATCAATCTGGCCTGACATTGTGGGGCAAATCCCTCCCCAAGATCAATAGGGAGGCCTTAGAGAAAGAGTAACACTTCCATTAACTCAAAAAAGTCTCCTGTTGGCCAAAGCAGCAATTGACGAAGCCCTGCCTGCAGTGCCCTAGCACAGCCTTCGGCCACCTGAGGAAAAGGGTATTTGAGGACTACAACATCAAATCCAACACCAAGATCATTGTCTACAGAGCTGTGGTGGTTCCTGCACTCCTATATGGCTATGAGATGCGAACTGTCTACAACAGATACGTCAAGGCGCTGGAGTATCACTGCCTGTGCAAGGTCCTGTAAATTCACTGGGAAGAAAGACGCACCAACAGCAGTGTCCTCAACCAGGCCACATCCCCAGCATCAAGGCACTGCCCACCCTTGATCAATGATACCCTCAAGGCCTCACTGGCAAAGTGCGACATGCCCATTACACCAGGAAATCACTGGCCCAAGACGATTCAAAGTGGAGGAGCATCCGGGAAAGCATCAAGCATCTAGAGACTCAGGAAAAAGCAGAAGCCAGGTGAAAACAGTGAAAGGATCATGCTGCCACACCAATGCCCCACTCACCCCTTCCCGTGACCACCTTCCGCCCCACGTGTAACAGAACCTGTGGTAGCTTCATTGGTCTGTATGGGCACCTACGGACTCACCCTCATACTTCCAGGCTGACTGTGTCAAAGGTCTTTGTAAAGTCAAAGAAAGCCATGTACAGTTTTATGCTTCTTTTTTCTCTGCATTTCTCCTGCAGCTGTCACGCAGTGAAAATCATGTTCATTGTGGCCAAAAGCCACACTGCAATTCTGGGAGGAGTTCCTCAGCCACAGGGAGGAAAAGGTTGAGGAAAGGGTGAGTGGAAGAGAATCATCCTCATCGGCAAAGGACCAACAATGATGATATGCCTCAAAACCTACCTACCTATCTCCTTCACAGACAACAAGGTGCAGGGCTGGATGAACACAGCAGGTCAAGCAGCATCATAGGAGCAGAGAGGCTGACGTTTCAGGCCTAGACCCTTCATCAGAAAAAGGGGAGGGGAAGGGGGTTCTGAAATAAATAGGGAGAGAGTGGGAGGCGGATAGAAGATGGATAGAGGAGAGGAAACAAACAGGTCGAAGAGGCGGGGATGGGGCCAGTAAAGGTGAGTGTAGGTGGGGAGTTAGGGAGGGGAT